TTTATTTATTTACAGAGGCAGAGACGCATCTGTGGAGAGGTGACCCTGTAAACACAGTGAGAATTCATGTTTTTCAAGGTATATTTTAGCAGGGGACGGTGTCATTTTAGCAATAATTTTAGCAACACCTGTAATTGAATAAACTGAGTAAAGATAAGTTTAATACTATACAGGGAAACAATCCAGACAACGCAACATTTCAGTGGAGGTAAACAGGTGGTGTATCCCTCACCAGAAAAGTTACATACTGCACCTTTAAAATGTCATGTGCTTAGAAGTTTGTTTGAGAGTCACTATTGAGAGGCACTTCTTTACCGAAAGCACTATTACTTAAGTTCTGACCATAAAGCTAAACTATAACAGGTCTGAGTTTGCTGATGTGTGCATTGTGTCTCCATGGTAACTGCTGAACATCCCACCATAGAGATACACGTAGAACACCCTCAGCATTACGTCATTGCAAAGTATCAGTAGCACACATGTAAATTTCTCAAAAGAATGGAACATGACGAATTAAAATGGCAAGAATAAATCCCTGAGGTGATTATATGAGGGAAAAGAGTGAAGTGAAGCTAAAGTGGAGTAAAGGTACCTGCACTGTATGCTTTGCCCGTTATGTGAAGCCTTTTAATATTCTATACAAAAGATTTTCCATTTTAGTTTTTAATGAGTGATCCATCTCAAGTGGTGCCATGTTCCAAACCCTTCCAAGGCGAGTGTGGCGTTCTCATTCTCATTGTCCACAGCGGTAACAGGACGTGCTCATTATCCTCCACAGATTTACCCAGAGTTCAAGTTTAAATGATGCGCCGGCTCTGAAAGCGCAGCGGCAGACAGCACAGTGTGAGGACGGTGGGGCAGGGCCGTTCTGGGTTACATAATCGTGAAGCACACGTCAAAGGTCAACCAAATTTACTTTAACAGTCACGCTTGTCAATATTTTGTTCTGTCTTGAGCCCTGTTTCATCTATTGTAGATTTGTTTTTTTCCTAGTCTAGTTCAAGTTGAGTTTCCATGTGATCTATGTGTAAATGTAACTTGTTGTATTGTTGTATACTTTCGAGTAACATCACGCTCGGGTTGTTCTGAATCTCTATTGGAGGAATGTTCAGCAGTTACTATGGTGTCACAATGTACACATTAGCAAACACAGACAAATAAGTTGTAAGATAGTCTGAAAAATGTATTTAAAGGTCCTGTATTACACAAGCTTTAAGCCATGTTATAATGCTGTTTCCTCTTCCAAAACAGACCTGGAGTTGTGTTTTGTTTCATTCACGCATGTCTAAGTAACCCTTTATTACTAGTCTGTCTACATCATCAAAGCTCAAAATGCTCTGTTCCACCTTGTGATGTCATGTAGTGGTAATTTACTAACATTTAGTTCAGTAGAAATGGGCAATTCCTGGGCTGAAATTATCCAAATCATTTAGTCGAAGATGTATGGAGTTTAAAAACACAGTGGAGCTCTTCCTGTATCACCACATGACATCACAAGGAGTGTTTTCTGTCTGAGAGAAGAACTCATCTTAAATATACAGGATTTGTGTGTTAAAAATGTGTGAATAAAACAAAACACAACTCCAGGTATGTTTGTGATGAGGAAACAAAGTTATAAATGATAATATATAGTGCAATATGGGCCCTTCAAGCACGACTGAAGACTGAACAGAGGCTTTTGGGACCATGCTAACTTGAAACGATGTGCAAAATTGACATGCACGTCACAGATCCATAAAATTAACATTCACTCGCCCATGTCTTTTATGTTGAAGACTTGAGTGGAAATTATTAATGACATCTTTGATTGGCTTTAGGCTGCAATCTGGAGAGGTTAATCTTGTTCTTAGCGTAGAGACACGTTCAGAGGAAAACCGTGGTGGAATTCGTCTGTAAAGGTGTTTCAGAAAGTAATGAGATCAGTGCTCAGATAGGTGAAAAGAATGGATTTAGCCTTCAGCATTCAACCAGGCTGTTTGTTTTGAGATTTGATGTTTTATTCCTTTTTATTAGTCCTCACACTCAATTGAAAGTAATGTGTGTTTTTCTGCTAAAAATTGTGTTGTACTTTCACAGGGTTACTCAAATATTTTACTTTTCAAAATGTTGTATGCTACATCAAAGTAACACGCGCAAAGCAGCAATGAGTCAAAAATCTTTATTTTGTTTTTTAACAGAGGCAGGTTGGTTACATTTATTGAGTAACTAAAATGGTATTTCTCAGTTATATATTTTACCATGTAACAGTACTCTTAAGCTTTGGTTACTCTTCCCATTCTAAGTCTATTGCAAAGACTTTAATTTGACAATATTAAATCATTTAAAGGTGCACTGCACAACTTTTCTAGTGGAGGGTCCACCACCTTGTCTCCATGAAGATTTAATTGCTTTGCCTAGAATGTTTCATGATATGACATTCAACATATATACAATGCAGTAATTCCTTCTGTAAGTAGGGGGGACTTGATTCATCAGCCAGTTTCACTTCGTGGAAAGCATCTGACCTCGCAGCATTAGAATTTGTTTGCTTGATGGTAGTGGGTACGTTTTTTCATTTAACCAATCGCTGCTATTTGGTCGTGACGTATGTAATGCACCACTAACAGGGCTAACTGGTATATTAAGCTTTTCCCAAATCCCATAGGAAGAAGGGCAATAACGTCTTTCCCTTTGATAAAATTCACCAAACATTCTCTTTGTTCCGGCTTTAAATCCTCGATCATGGGAATCGTTGCCAACACAGAATATATGGCACTTCACTGATTGGCTGGTGCCTGGACTTCCGGAGTTCTTGCAAACTGTCTAGTGTATTCCAATTCCTGACCTAGTCACTGGAGAGAAATGAAATTGAGTGGAGGCACTAGGTGGCGCCAGCCTGGCTAAGGGGGGATTCTCATGTGTCATGCTGTAACCTGCTTTTCTCATAGTTTGGTTTAATCTATACTGTGAAATATTCCAGGCAAAGCAAGAACATTTCCATGGAGACAAGCAGGTGGTGGACCCTCCACTAGAAACCTTTAAAGATTTGTTTTTCTTATACGACTCCTTTACTGATTTAGTTTTTTCTCATGTTCTTTGTCTTATTTTAAACATATCTGAATCTGTGCATTATTTAAGGTTTGTTCCAATTAATCTTACTTTTTTACTCTTACTGGAGTAATTTCTTCAGTGGTACTATTTTTAGTAAAAAATGTATTTCTCTTCACACCTCTGGTATTTAATCACATAAAAATGTAGTTCATCACATTTATCCAGTTTCTTTTGTGCTTCCATTGACAGTGTGCAAAAAATAATTCTCCCATTCCCACTAGGTAATTGACAGGTAGATTTTAATATTCATTTGACTTGCTGTGGTTTGTCTCAACAGTAAAGCCAGTGGATCCTTTTGAGGAGGAATCATGAATAAATAAGCAATCTCCTCAATAAACATTTAGGCTTTGTTGACGTTAAGTGACAGGCGGAGGATGTGACTGGAGTGAAATATTAGCATTATACACATTTATGTCGGAAGGGTAGCCAGAAGATGGATGCAAAAGTAAACGCTAGAACAACAAAGCTGTCAAATGATGAATAATTGTACTTTGTGGAAAAAACTGAAGCCAATATCCAACCACTTTTAAGCAGATGCACTTACTAATGTTCCTGTGCATTCCAGTTGTCCATGAAAGTTGGATTTTCTGAGTTACGACTTATAAACGTGTGAAACACCCTTCCGACAATTCTGAGAACATTACACAGTCAGAGTAAAGAAATCCAATATGGCTTTTAGTGGAAGAAATGCAACAGTTATTATATTGTTTATACTTGTTATTTTCTCTTTAGTTGCCCCCTACTGTCCATCTGCTGTAAATGTGCCCCATGCTACTATTGATCCTCTGTAGTAGTGCTGTTATGTTAAAGGTGCACTGCGCAACTTTTCTGATGCAAGGTCTGCTACTTGTCTCCATGGAGATGTTATTGCTTTGCCTGGAATGTCCCATGATGTGGAATTAAACATATCAATCTTGCATTTGTTCATAATGGGTGTTTCTTTTGGTCAAAAATACATGAACTCCTTCTGTGAATAGAGGCGACTCTCCACAGATCTGAATTGTAATGTAGCATAGTGGTGTTACAGGCTTGTCTCCCTTGTGATAGATACGTTTAAGCTATACTGTGGAACATTTTATACACAGAGATAACATTTTCATGGAGACAGGGGGTGGACCCTACACTAGGAATGTTACACAGTTACACAGTTACGCAGTGCACCTATACATCTTTATGCAGTCAATGTCAACGAAAGCAAACTTGTATTTTGTCTGATTTGAACACTCTCTTAGTTTTTATAGCTTGGTTTGTATATTACAGTGCATTGCTCATTGTTTGTGAGACTGTCAAAGAGTTTTCAACTTTGAGGACAACTGGAACGCAGCATCAACTCTGAATTTTGACGAAGTAGTAAATAAATGTAAATGGTCACATTTTTCTAGCGCTTTTCCACCTTCTAGGCAAAGCGCTTTTCATACACCAGTGTAAGCAGACACTGGGAACAAGAGGGTTAAGTGTCTTGCCGAAGGACACAGCAACAGCATTCATCTGTGGGAGCTGGAATCGCACCGCCAATCTTCAGATCAGTGGACTCGCACTCTACCAATTGAGCTACTGTCACTTGTACAAGTAATACAATATAATATTTGTCAAGTTGGTAAAAAAAATGAAAGGGAACTTCTGCCATAATACATCAAATTACTCCTTTACATTGGAGAAATTTGACACAGCTATTTGGCAACCATTGAATGCAGTAGTCTTGTCCGCAGCACTTAGATTCACATGTTGATTGTAATAACACAAATAGAAGTTTAATGAAATGGCACTTAAGATTTAGAATGGCCAGTTCAATATATCTTTACTCTTCACATATATCTCTCTCTCATATTATATTACACCATTATTTTCATATAATCTAAATAGTTTATACTTTTGCTAAGGTCCATGAGGTGGTCTGTGTGGTATGGCCTTTAATCCCATTTGAAATCTTGACCCACGGTCTCATAAAACTTTATATTAAATGGTCTATAGAAGTCCTGGAGTTGCTCGATGACTTCCTGATCTATCTGAACATGAGTCCTGCCCTTTGATTTTCCCAGACACCTCGGCTGGCTGCTACTCTCCGGCTTCTTAAGACATGGGAATCCTTTGGTACGATTAAAATAGAAATGTTTATCCGAAATTATCCTTTTCAGTCCTAAAAAGTCCTGGACACGCCCCATTTCTCCAGCTGGATCTGTGATTAGTCGCTCCCCACTCACAAAGTGCATCTGGGAGGGTCGGAAATACTGCAGCCAGTTTTCCAAATGGATGATGTACATCCCAATCCGAATGGCATTCCAGGTTGTGTCGACGATTCCCAGGCTTTTGTTCTTGAAGGCAAGCTCTTCGAATGTGGGGAGGTTGGGTTTTTTGGACAGGGTCTGGGTGTAGTCCGAGATGGCTCTGGTGACCGGGTTTCTGACCACGACGATGAGCTTGGTCTGGTGGGACATACTGGAGATTCTTCTTGGAGCTTCCCTGGTGACAAAGTAGCTGGGAGTTTTCTCTAGTGTGATCTGGCTGTCCAGCGTTCTCGGCATTAGGCCCCTGGGGAAGAGAGACAAAGAGTCAGTGAGAAAAATAACACAACTTTGCAAGAAAAGTTTGAATTTAAACAATAACAGAATGTGATGAATAACTTATAGATGAACTTAGGTGGTTTTACCCTAGGTCTTGGTGGTATAAGATGATGATTTATACCTCGCTGAAAATATTTTCAAGAAGACTCCCGCACACTGTCTCTCTCTTGGTTCACTGTTATTAGTACAATGTTTCAGTCCCTCTGAGGACACTCCCTCCTGCTCCCTGCCCCTTGAGAGTAATCAACCAATCACAGCAATGAAAAAATATATTGCAAAATTACATTAACAATTAGACTACAATATTGTACATATAATTCACATTGCACCAGTCTCTCACATGTTTAATAATTAGAAAAATATAAAGAATATGATCATCGTTAAAAAGGTATTGCATTTAATTAAACATTTATTTTTTATTTTTTGCAAAATAAGTGGTGCAAGTGGGAGTATATGCATTTCATTACAACTTACAACACTTTATTTATTTTAATTATTTATATTTTTTTTTACATTTGTTTTACATTATTTAACTTTTCCCCTTTGCAACATAATTCCATATATCTTACTTCACATATTTGCTGTCTTCTGTAGGTATATAAAATGTAGAAAAGAGTTAAAATAAAGAAAAAAAACAACAAATGTAATAAGAAGATGTGTCCAAACATTTGTATTTACATTTAAGCACAAACGACATAATTTAGTTTTATTACAGATTACAACTTCATGTGGTATTAAGCCTGTGAACTGACGCAAAACTGAACCCTCCTACACTTGTATTGCATTATACTGTATAAAAGGTACATTTATCTTCACAATAACACCTTAAGGGTACTTGAGAAACTGAAAGATTGTACCCCAGCATATACATCATCATTATAATAATAATAATAATCTTGCAGCAACGTTGATAGCTTTGTATACCACTGCCAAATGTTCCGATTTGTCACATTTGTCATGTGCGTTTTCCCTGTTCATTGTAATGTGTCACTCGGCTGTGGCACTCCAATTCAATAAACATGATTAATAAGCACTTCCTGTTTCTGCCAACTCGATAAATGTAATGGCTGTATTTCTGATATATACATCCTCCGTATTTCCAAACTGTGTAAATTGTGTTTTTGCCTCATTCAGTTTATGATGAAGTCTCCCTGTACTTAATGGTGAAGACATTATGGCTAATCTCACTTCAATGCAACTGATACTTTGCAGCTGATATCATTGATGTTCCCTGTTGGCGTGATGCTAACTGGAGGCTCTGCTCTGTCTGAAGCTCTGTTACTCAAGTTTGACTTTAATCTGAGCATTCTTTTAACAAAAATCTGGTTTTGCTAGAAGTACAGGTGAGCTGATTGAAACATCTCTCACGCATAAAATTACAGTCACAAGCTAGATAGCATTAGCCAACAGTTTTTCAGGTAATCATTCTCATCTTTTTGTTGAAAATCAAACTCTAAGCAGGACCATGGATGCTCATATTGATCATAGTCTCCTGAAAATGTGTTTTTCAAATCCATTTTGTATTTTTTCACGAGTTTCAGACTTTTTTGTCAGTATTTGCTAATGTGTGCATTATGTCACCATGGTAACCCCTGAACAGTCCTCCATATACATCCATATAGAACACCCCAGTGTGATGTATCATTATCTAAGTGAAAAAAGATTAAGGCCCCCGCTATGTCTTTAATCCATTAGGAGGTTCAGACAGTTTCTCTGTTTTATGTATTTCTGTTTTCCTCTGAAACCAAACTATAAAATCCTTATTGCGAGATAGGGCCAGTGCATTTTAGTAGCAGCAGTTTTGTCCATATGCTGTTGTAGATTACATTCCTCTCTATTTCCAGTGCACAACAGTGGTGATTAAATAGCGCTGTTTCTTTATTATGACTGTGGGAATGCTTCGATTAAAAAGCTAACCTTTATCAGGGCTTTCTTTCTGGAGGTAGGGGTAGCCATAGGTTACCTCTAAAGTCCCGGCTGTATTGATCCATTTAGCTACACTTATGAATGCTGAGTCTGTGGCACTGCCTTAGGGCCACAACACAACTATTAATCTTTTATGAGAACAGCACCTTTTCAGCTGCAACACACACACATATTTCTTTATCTGAGTGTGTTGAATTCAAAGAAACGTATGCTTTAACTTGTTGGAGTGATACATTTTCATCACTGTTGTTGGTAGAAATTGGAAAGATGAGAGGAAAAAAGTATCACTCTAAACACAAGTGCTTAAAGTCCTGTTTTTGATTGCTGCTTGCCTTAGACAAAACTGAATATGAAAATATATCTTCAAAAACAAGACACAATAAGGATAAAGTACATTTTGAGCTTTCTATTACACAAAAAAGTTATTTAATCAAAAAACATACCAGAGGTTATAGTTTGGTTTGTCTATGCATGGCTATTTCTGCTGAAAACTGAAAACACTTTAACTCAAGGGTACATTATGTAGTTTTTAGGCAGAGGGTCCAAAATAATGTTGTTGTTTTGACTGGAATGTTCCACAGAATGGTATAACATTTCACCATCTCCATGGAGACAAGCAGGTGACAACAAACAATGTGGAATCTTCCAGGCAAAATTATCTTCATGAGACAAGCAGGTACCACAGGAAAACTTACATAGTGCACCTTTAATGTCCTATCTCCCAAATCCTCACCACACTAACAAATAATAAAAACATAATTTGAACATATTGTGTTCAGTTTTAATGAACAATAACAACTAACTCCTTAAATGGCCCATATTACGCTATTTACGGGGTTATAATGTTGTGTCCTCATCAAAAACATACCTGGAGTTGTGTTTTGTTTTGTTTCATTCACACAAACCCTGCATATTTAGGCCAAGTTCTTCTCTCAAACAGAAAACACTGTACCTTGTGACAGGAGATGTTCCACTGTGTTTTTAAACTCCATACTCACTCAAATCACTTGGATGATTTCAGCCCTGTTATATCTAATCTCTACTAAAGAAGAGGTAAAAGCTGTTATGTTGAAAACTACCGCTTCATGACTTGGGTTGAAAAGAGTGTTATCATTTTTTGAGATGTAAACAAACTAATAATAAAAGATTACTCAAACACGTGTGAATGAAACAAAACACAATTCCAGCTGTTTTTGATAAGATAACAACATTCTAACACGACTTCAAGCTCACAAGAATCAATTTTGCGTAATATAGGGCCTTTAAATAAAAGAAAATCTGAAGGCGAAGAAAATGCAATGTAAAAATATATATACACCCATTACACAAGAAGATACAGGTCAAACTGTCAGGGCCAATCTATTCACATTAGAAGACTTGGACTGTCCGTGTCTTTCTATAGCAGGAAGTTACATGGGCTAACCTTCGTCAGTTTATTGATTTCTACAGCTGTTGTGGTTGTTTACTCCCTGGGAATCTGAACGCTGCTAAATTACATGACAGTTTCTAAGAGGAGCCAGCACCAGAGAGGAATAATGATGAGGCCACTGTGGAGAGACGCCAATAAAAATCCAGGTAAGACATATCTACTTCTCTTGTGTTGGGATTTATCAGAACAATCTTACAATTTTGTGTAGACTGTTGTACTGCTCTGAGCTTCATTGCTGTCTACAGAGGAGCCTTGCCTTTCCCAAGTCTGCCTGTATAGTGAAATTAAGACATGCATGCCTGCTAGTGTAGCCTAAACTAGGTATTGCATTAGATTGTGGGCGATTATCTGCTACAGAAATAAACATATCTGCAACTATTTCAGTCTGAGTCTTGCACAGTTCTTCTTTTTAAATGTTTGTAAGTGAAACATGTTAAATTACCAGATTTTTTTCCCATGTAGTTGAGTAAAATGTGTCTTTCCAGAGTACAGATATAATGTATAAATTGCTATTGAGGTCAAAAAAAGAAAGCTGTGTATGTAATTATTGAACAATGCTTATAAATTAATTGCAATGAATAATTTGGATGCTCAGAATGCATAAGGTAAGTGCAATAACTTTGAACAAACCTTTAAAATTATTCTTGGGAAAAAAAACAAAACTAAATACTCTTTGTTCAGTATACCACAAAATGCATAATAGACCCATGACACTTCGACGCAAAAAATAAATACACATTCTTTGTTTTTATTCTTTATTTTTTCTCCCCAGTTCATCACTTTGTTAATGTGGTGTGTATGAAAACACTTCCCCGACCTGTTGAGGGTTGTTCCTATCAACCTATTTCAGGATGCTAACACCTCACAGCCTAATAAACACTCGCTGTTCTTTTTTTGAATTCTCATGAAAAGTCAGAGTTGTGTAATAGAGCAGCACCACTGGAGTCTAATATCTAAATTCATACTTAATACTTGTCATTTTATGTACTTTTTCGAACATTCTTAACCCTAATCCTAACCTTAACTCTAAATAACCCTCTAACCCTAACCACTCCCCCAACCCTAACCCTCTAAGACAAAGCTAACCCTAACCTCTAACCCTAACTTAACCCAAACCTAACCCTAACACTTTAACCCTCTAACTCTACCCTAACCCTCTAACCCTAACCTAACCCTGTGCCTGACTAACCCTAACTCCTAAGCCCCTAACTCTACCCTTACCCCCTAACCAAGTCCTAACTCTAACTAACCCTCTACCCTCAAACCTTACCTTAACCCTAAGTAAACCTAACTCCCCTTACCCTAACCCTCTAACCTAAACCTAACCCTATCCTTAATTAACCCTAACCCCAAACCCTCTAACCCAAACCTAACCCTAACTAACCCCAACTCTAATCCTATCCCTAACAAACCCTACCCTCTAACTCTCTAACACTATCCAAACCCTAGCCAACCCTAACTGACCCTAACCCTCTAACCCTACCTTAAAGGTTGTACAGAGGATTTCCCAAGGAAAGAGAAATACAGCGAGTGTTTGACCTTTTTCAAATGTTGTGCCCCCCCCTCCTCCACAGCTCCCTAAGTAGAAACGCCTCCTCCTTACGCTAGAAATC